GTATAATAAACATCGTCTGACCTGTAGGCTGAAAGTCGATTTTTTTGTGTGGCTGTGTAATTTATTTTGTATTAGAAATAACGATACCTTCAAGAGAAATAAACATAAAATATAAAACGAAATAACACTATTATAAATCCAAAACTAACACAAGGTACAGCTCATTTTGAATGAAGTTTTATTTCCATTTAATTTGTCTAATTGATAATATTGTTTTTCCATGAAACGAATGAAAAAATTCTCAAACATATACGGGTTCCAAAATTATTAATTGTTACCAGTATACGATAGATGGCACAACCAAATAACATACAAAATGTGTTACTGGTGGTTCTATAGTACCGGTTGGGGCATTAATCCGTAAAGTATTAGTAGTCCAATTAAATGGGCCCTTAAATCGCAATTTTGGTCAACTTGCCTGAATACTTGATCTAAGTTAGTTTGAGGTATATAATAACAATAAGTGATAGTAATTTTTTTTTCAACCTCCTGCCAGCGGCGAAAAACAAAACGATAAAACAATCAAGGTATGTAATTCTAAAGGGGCAAGAGCTAGAAAAAAAAGTTTTATATAAAAGTTGTAGAGCATAAAATCCCACATAAAAATGGTCTATTGACTTTTTCTTGTACAATTAAAATTAACAGAGTTAGGGAGACTAGAAGTTAAAGGATGATTTCAGAAATTTAAAAAATCATAAGCAGAAAAAATAAATTTTATAATTTTCTTTTCGATCTACTCTAAAAAATGTAAACTATCTTTTCAGAGAAATAGTTACATGTTTAATTTTTAATAAAAAGTTATAACAATTTCACAAAACGAACGTGGTTTTTTATGTTTGTCGTAAAACAAAATTTCGAGAGCAACTTTTCATTATTTTAAATAGTCAATCGAATGGTATAGAAAAAAATTGTTTTAGTGTTAAATTATAAAAATTAACGATAAAAAAATTAAAACTGAATTTTTTTTATTAAAAATTATGTCTATTCCGCTGAATATAAAAATTTAGGTACATTTTTTAGAATAGATTGAAAAATAAATTATAAAATTCATTCATTTTAATACTTGTTATGATTTTTTTTTAATTTCTGAAATCATCCTTTAATTTCTAGCAACCCTAACTCTGTTAATTTTAATAGTATAAGAAAAAGTTATGTAGAATTTTATGCTGAGCAACTACAATTACCTTGAGAAAACCTTATATTTTATTAACCTCAAATTAACTTCAGGTAAGTTAACCAAATTGCGATTTAAAGGCCCATTTAATTAGATTGGATTGCCTTATCATGATTAATTAAAAACTTTATTTCGCCTAGGGCGACACTGGTCATGCTCTTATGGTACCTGCGAAATAGCAGGTTGCTCTCTGCCAGCTCTGCCATATTGAAGGCCCTGGCATTGAGTAGCAGTGACCACTTAAAGTGTAACATACTTTTTATGGACATTTGGATATTTTCAAGTATGGATTACGAGATAAATCTATATTTCTTAACTATAAAACTGTTGAGGATTCATGGGAATGCACCGAAATATACGCAGAGAATCAATTTACACGAGGAGTATATCAATTTTTCTTTTTTTTATTTTAAATGTTGCAAATTTATTATTTCTTTAAACAATAACATTTTCAAAAGTTGTTTAGAAATAAAATTTTGGAAATGAAAATATCAAGTCCTACATGGACATTGCAGTTTTGCATAATTTTAAAAATATTTAGCTTTAGAAGTACATAGTTACTCCCATCTTATCAGTTAAATGTAATTATTATTCCCCTTTCTATTTCCTGTAATGAGAAGGAGGGTATTTATCGAAAATTATACATATTTTTTTGGCAACTGATCATTGTTTTTCTGGTAGCATATGTTTATATTGAATTTTCTATGAAAGTGTATTTTGCTCAAAAATCGTAAATTTATTTCACGAAAGATTTGTCGAATTTATTGACTCGACGAATAATTAATTTCTGGGTCCTGTCCTTCAAAGTTAATGTCCAAAGAATGCTTTTCTGACTGTACGAATATCTACATTTCATCCAATAAAGAAAGTTAAAGTTTTAATTGTATAGATCTCAATTTTCTCAGTGAGAAAATATTTGTAGTACCAGATTCAAATCTATACCAGAAAGATATTTGTCGATCTCATCGTAGTTTTCTTTAGTCAAAATTTATAAAACCCTAAATCATTCCACGCAGGGTTAAGGCCAACTGTCGTATGAGGCATCTATACATCACCCTTCTCACTATTCTAATGTCAGCGTAATATCTTCCGATGATTGATCACCCTCAGACGCATGATAACATGTTTCTATTTCTGATAGATATATGGAGCACGATGATATGAAGAATCCGCCGCGGAAACGTAAACATAAACCCTATCCGAGTGGGTTTAGGCATCCGAATGGGAAAATATTAATAACTGTCTGAGTTGAATTAAACAATGGCTTTGTTCTAGCCTCGCTTTGAAATGTTTCCATAGAAAGAATTAAGAATACAATACGTTTTCCATCCGGCAAGCTACTTTTTTGAATGAATGTTATTTTCAGTATTCTAACCGGGAATTAAAATTATTGTACAGGGTGGGGGGGCAAGAAATTCAAATTTTAAAAATAATTTCACATATTCGTGATTCGTTTTCGGAGAGCTGCCAAAGTTGTATTTTTTAAATGGAACACCCTGTATCTGAGTGAATATTTATATTTTACATGGAATTATGCAACTTTTCCGTATAGGAACTATATGCCAAAAAACAGATGTGTCCGATATATTAATGTTTTAATATAAAAAATTACAATTTCGGTGTTACACTTGATCGTTGCTGATATACTCCTTTTTTTGAGATACAATCTAAGCAATCGTCACATATATCGTAGGTTCACCGTAAATTCTGATGTGATCACTGTTTATAAATGTCATACAGAGTATTCACAAAATCCTACCAAATGCTACCTTTTCCTTTTACCTTACCGTTTACCTTTTTCAAAGGCAAAAATTTTGTTTGTTTCAATTGGAACACCCTGTATTTTTTAACCGGACCTTCTCAAAATCTACAGGTTTCATAATAGGTGTTATATATCAGTTCCTCATATTTTATGAAATTTTTCGCAATTTCTTTATTTTTTTTTTGCCATAAATAACGTCGACGTACCTATTAGGGTCAAGGAGTTGAAACAAAAAACATTGCTTAAAATGTATCTTTACTTTTTGCAGAAAAGAACAATGATCCTAAATTATACAGCTTTCTTATTCTTATTGAATTTTTAGTGAATAACTCATCTTTTACATGACAGAAAAATATATATTTATTGATAAAACAAAGTTTTCTATAATTTACATTACCAGTAGAATTAAAAATTTCTATTAAAATACGAATGGCTCTTTTGGAAGATTGTCGGCGCTCTGAATATTTCATTTGATAGAGACACGAAAAAGTTGTCTAATTCTATGTAAAATATAAATATCCACTCATATACGGGGTATTCCAAAAAAAAATACAACTTTCGTCAGCGCTCCGAAAACGAATCACCCTGTATGTCAAATTATTTTTAAAATGTGCAATTCTTCCCCCCACCCCCCGAACCTATTTAGAAATATTTTGCCACAATTATATTCTAGCGATAAATCTATTTTGCCACAGCGTTGACTCACCATGTACAAGGTGTTTCCTTAAGAACGCGACACAGCTCAATGACATATTTTTGAGTACAAAATGCAGCGATTGAGACAAACATGTGTTAAACATAAAAAAATGTTGTTTTTTTTAAATTCATCCTTTTGCTAAATTTGCAACTAAATCTAATATTTTGTACTATTTTAACCACAGTACTGAAAGGTCAGTGCTTCCTGAGACACAGACTTTTGAATTGAGTATAACAAAGTTAAAATAACAGGGCCACATCCCAGTAAGTGTTGACTCTTGAATGCGAATAAGTTTCTCTAAATTAGGCGAAATATTTCATCCAGTTGCATTCAGCAAATGTGGAATTTAATTAGATTGGAATAATGCAGGTGCTGAGGTAATTTCACCCAAGGAATCGACAGTTGCGGCATGGCTCATTTACCTCCAAACACCCTGTATAAGATTTTAAATAAAACGCAAATTAATTCAGAAACAAGAAGAATTCGAAAAAATATAAGATTTTAAAATATATTTTATTATAAACATAATTCTGGTAAATATTTACCTTTGAATTTTTGTCAGATTATTTTATTTAGTTGTCCACTGCATAATGTATAATTAAATAGATCTTCTAATAAACAGATCATTTATTATTCCTAATTATTCCGGCTTATGAATTGAGATAAACAGTTAAATAATAATATAATATAAATAATAACAAAAAACAAATAATAATAATAATAATAATAATAATAATATAAGGAAATTTAACAAATTGCTAACATCAAATTCTTCAATACCTGCATCAATCACTTTTATGATTGCGTTTCCTTTTAATTTCAATTGTACCATTTTTATTCAAAGTTAGTCAAGTTCTCACTATTTTTTATTTGAATTATCGCTGTGTAAAGAACAAAACATTTAGGTCACATTCGCTCTACCGGTACCTAAGGCTTCTAGTTTTAACACCCTCACCCAAGCGCAAGATGAATACTATTTTTGAAATTCTTGCGCTAACAAACTAGCCTATTGAAAATTTCAACGTGATTGATGGAAAAAATCCTCGAAATTTGTCAAAATTCCAAAAATATTTAAACTTCGACATCCTCTAGTTTGGAAATATTACACAAAGTGGAAAATTTCTTAACGCATACATCTTTCATTTAATTCTATTCTGAAGTTGTAGTCTCTGAACTTATTTGTATATAAAAATCCACTGATAGAAAATCGTCATCGTCTCATGTGCCAGCTCTGGCCTCTCCTACACTATAACTAAATCACTTAGAAAATATCTGGACCAATATAAAACTATGTAACAAAAACGCGATCTCTGTGCTCAGTGGGTCGCAATGTGTCCGTTCACAGCCTGCATCTAGATGAGGCGGCGCTACGTCGGACGCCTCAGGACCAGCAGGAACACCAGGCTCAACAGCAGCGTGGCGTGGGAGAGGCTGGTCAGGGAGCCGTGGCCGTGGTGCATGGCAGCGGGATGTTCCCCTGAAACAAATGGGAATTGTTAAAATAATGGAACACCTCCAGGGCGATTCATAAAAGAATTCACTACAGTTTTGAAAGTTACAGTGTTGTTTTCTAAGCCGTCAAACTGGAACAAAATGTGACATAAATGTTTATCCACGAACTAATAAAACACAAATGCTTAATAATTTATATAATAACGAGCGTTCAAATAAAAACGTGGTCAAGTTGGTTCTGAAAATTTGGACGTAGGGCGTAGCGTATAGCAAATGAACTTAAACGTCATCTGTGCTATCAATTTGAATATTTCCGTTTTAAAAAGCGTTTAAAATGGTGTTTTCTCAAGAACAAAAAGTGTTTATCATAGAGTCCTACTTTAGAAATGGACGCAAGATTGATGGAATATGGAAGCATTCTATTGAGGAATGTTTCATAGAATTTCAAAATCAATTTCCCGGCGTTGTTGAGTACAAAATTTTTCAAAGTGCAGTTCAGCGTTGTGTTAATGTTTTTCGTGAAACGGGCAGTGTAACAAGAAAAGAAGGAAGCGGCCGACCTAAAAAGCGGACTGAAGAATTAAAAGAAAATGTCCAACAAATAATGGAAAATGCGCCAAGAACTTCTGTACGTGTTTTATCACAAATGGTGGGAGTATCAGTCGGTACATGCCACACAGTGTTAAAAAAAGATTTGCGTTTGTTCTCCTATCGTTTAACTTGTCAGCAAGAACTTCATGAAGTTGATTTTCCGCGACGGGCTGTATTTTGTGAATGGTTTTTAAACAACTACGGTGAACTTCATAATGTCACCTTTTTTTCTGATGAAGCCTGGTTTCATTTAAGTTGTTACGTAAACTCACAAAATATGAGAATGTGGTCTTCTGAAAAACCAAATAACTTTTTTGTCGAGGGCCCTCTACACGCTCAAAAAATTGGAGTTTGGTGTGCTCTCAATCGAAGGAGGATTTATGGACCTATTCTTTTTAATGGTACTCTTACTGCACAAAGGCATAGAGAAGAAATTATCGCTCCTTTTGTTAACCAGCTGGAAGAAAACGAAATTACAAACTTTTACTTTCAACAAGATGGCGCAAGGACACATACGGCAGGCGAGACGATGAATATGTTGAGGGAAGTTTTCCAAAATCGACTAATAAGTCTCAATGCTGAACATGAATTTCCACCGAGGTCATGTGATATTACGCCGTGTGATTTCTTTTTGTGGCCTTACCTTAAAAACACTATTTTTGAACTGCCTATTCCTGATTTAAACCATCTGCAGGCTCGACTTATAGACAAGATTCGTGAAATTAACAATACCACGAGCATCTTAGAAAATGTCTTTAATTCTTTGAGGAACAGGGGTGAAAAGTGCTTGGAACAAGGAGGGGGACACTTTCAGCAGCTGCTTTAGTTTATTGTTATAACAAGAAGGGGGACACTTTCCGCAGCTCCTTTAATTGTTTGTTATTGTTATCACGATTATTCTTTAAAATAAAGTTATATAGTCATTAACGTTATTGAAACTGACAGCTGCTATACAGCTCGTTGAGAAATGAGGTTAAGTTGGTCGCTATAAGCTACTCCCTACGTCCAATGTGTCAGAGCCAACTTCGACCACGTTTTTATTTGAACGCTCGTTACTAGTATTCATGAGTATCAAGTGAGAAATTAAAATAAATATTTCAGTCTATTTAAAATTTACATTAATTTAAAAAAAAACAATTGTTTTCATATCTTTTTGGTCACTGAATATGAATCCGACACTACACGTCAGGATATTTTGTAAACTATTAATTTATTTGCATATCTTGAAGGGCCCTCGATAGTGGATTTAAAGGTAAGATTAGTATTTGATTGACCTTTTAATACGAACTGAACAACTTTGAAGCCTCCTAGCCTCAACCCCTGTAATGTCGTAACCCTATAACTACATAATATATAGTAGGCTTGTATCTAATGACGATTTTGATAAGTATCAAACCCTTGGAATGGGGAATTCATAGTCAGTAACCTTCATGAGCCGAATAGCCCCATAACCTTATGGAACTACCAACGGTGTGAACAGGCAAAATGATTCAAATCACGATATTTATGAATAGAATAGAATAGAATAGAATAGAATAGAATAGAATAGAATATAACAGAACAGAACAGAACAGAACAGAACAGAACAGAACAGAACAGAACAGAACAGAACAGAACAGAACAGAACAGAACAGAACAGAACAGAACAGAACAGAACAGAACAGAACAGAACAGAACAGAACAGAACAGAACAGAACAGAACAGAACAGAACAGAACAGAACAGAACAGAACAGAACAGAACAGAACAGAACAGAACAGAACAGAACAGAACAGAACAGAACAGAACAGAACAGAACAGAACAGAACAGAACAGAACAGAACAGAACAGAACAGAACAGAACAGAACAGAACAGAACAGAACAGAACAGAACAGAACAGAACAGAACAGAACAGAACAGAACAGAACAGAACAGAACAGAACAGAACAGAACAGAACAGAACAGAACAGAACAGAACAGAACAGAACAGAACAGAACAGAACAGAACAGAACAGAACAGAACAGAACAGAACAGAACAGAACAGAACAGAACAGAACAGAACAGAACAGAACAGAACAGAACAGAACAGAACAGAACAGAACAGAACAGAACAGAACAGAACAGAACAGAACAGAACAGAACAGAACAGAACAGAACAGAACAGAACAGAACAGAACAGAACAGAACAGAACAGAACAGAACAGAACAGAACAGAACAGAACAGAACAGAACAGAACAGAACAGAACAGAACAGAACAGAACAGAACAGAACAGAACAGAACAGAACAGAACAGAACAGAACAGAACAGAACAGAACAGAACAGAACAGAACAGAACAGAACAGAACAGAACAGAACAGAACAGAACAGAACAGAACAGAACAGAACAGAACAGAACAGAACAGAACAGAACAGAACAGAACAGAACAGAACAGAACAGAACAGAACAGAACAGAACAGAACAGAACAGAACAGAACAGAACAGAACAGAACAGAACAGAACAGAACAGAACAGAACAGAACAGAACAGAACAGAACAGAACAGAACAGAACAGAACAGAACAGAACAGAACAGAACAGAACAGAACAGAACAGAACAGAACAGAACAGAACAGAACAGAACAGAACAGAACAGAACAGAACAGAACAGAACAGAACAGAACAGAACAGAACAGAACAGAACAGAACAGAACAGAACAGAACAGAACAGAACAGAACAGAACAGAACAGAACAGAACAGAACAGAACAGAACAGAACAGAACAGAACAGAACAGAACAGAACAGAACAGAACAGAACAGAACAGAACAGAACAGAACAGAACAGAACAGAACAGAACAGAACAGAACAGAACAGAACAGAACAGAACAGAACAGAACAGAACAGAACAGAACAGAACAGAACAGAACAGAACAGAACAGAACAGAACAGAACAGAACAGAACAGAACAGAACAGAACAGAACAGAACAGAACAGAACAGAACAGAACAGAACAGAACAGAACAGAACAGAACAGAACAGAACAGAACAGAACAGAACAGAACAGAACAGAACAGAACAGAACAGAACAGAACAGAACAGAACAGAACAGAACAGAACAGAACAGAACAGAACAGAACAGAACAGAACAGAACAGAACAGAACAGAACAGAACAGAACAGAACAGAACAGAACAGAACAGAACAGAACAGAACAGAACAGAACAGAACAGAACAGAACAGAACAGAACAGAACAGAACAGAACAGAACAGAACAGAACAGAACAGAACAGAACAGAACAGAACAGAACAGAACAGAACAGAACAGAACAGAACAGAACAGAACAGAACAGAACAGAACAGAACAGAACAGAACAGAACAGAACAGAACAGAACAGAACAGAACAGAACAGAACAGAACAGAACAGAACAGAACAGAACAGAACAGAACAGAACAGAACAGAACAGAACAGAACAGAACAGAACAGAACAGAACAGAACAGAACAGAACAGAACAGAACAGAACAGAACAGAACAGAACAGAACAGAACAGAACAGAACAGAACAGAACAGAACAGAACAGAACAGAACAGAACAGAACAGAACAGAACAGAACAGAACAGAACAGAACAGAACAGAACAGAACAGAACAGAACAGAACAGAACAGAACAGAACAGAACAGAACAGAACNGCGATTGAGAGATATTGCAAAAAAATGATTTCCATTCCTCCCTCTTCAATGGGTCCCTGTGCCCTTAGGAAGCATTTCCGGACCCATGTTCATATGAACTTTTTTACTTAGTTTTGATCATAGAATCGGCCTGTTTAGGGTTGGCAGCTAATTATGAGACACCCTGTATTATAGTAGCTAGTCAAGGAACACAATAAAAACAATTTAAAAAAAATAGAACTAAAGCACTAGACATATAGAAATACACATAGATCTAACAATAAAATTTGCTTTACAACGTAATACACGTTAGAGTAAAAGACAACTAAAAGTCATGAACACTATCCATAAAGTCACGAACGGAATAAAACATTTAGACAGCAATTATGGTTGACTAACCTTAGAACAAAAACTTAAGTATCCCTATAACCCTTAATTCTTTATCAGAAATCATCATAACGTTATGAAATCAAGTGCCCCATAACCCCATGAATACAGTGAACATATTTGTATTACTTTCTCTTGTGGGTACACATGTCTGCATGTGACCCATTTTAAATAACGCGTTAAGAGCGCCAGTCTGACGCTGGACCGGTCTAACAGTTCAAGTGACAAAGAACAGATGAAACTTCAACGCGGGACACACACACTATGGTTCCCGGAAAAGGGCCACGGCAGATTGGCGACAGGGACTAGATACATATACTTGCGAACGACTCCACAACAGGACTCTCCAACGAACGCTCGCCCTGACAACATTTCTTTTCACTGTATTTTATTTTCAATAAAAAATACTTTTAATTTAGC